TGGCCAAAATGCATGGCCTAATTTTGACCCAAACAGAGGAGTTTTCCTTTGGAAAAGAAAAATCCTGTGTTAGCAGGGTCTCACTCTGTTACAGCAATCAGTTGCATTGCCCAACAAATTATGTACAAGTAATGTGGCTATAAAAATACACCTCAGCTGTTTAAGCAAATGCAACTATGGCAGGTTTTGCTGTTTTCCTATGCAAAAGCGTGAATGCAGATGAGATGAGGTTCTGAAACAGAACTAGAGAACAGGAAAGTTGTGCAAGTAGGTATGAAAACATGTAGAGACAGTAGTAGGGACAGCATTTTTTTAACCAAAAAAAATTTTTGTGAATGAAAATAGTAAGCAGAAATAAACATAGTCTTTTCTCTACCAAAGAGCAAGCTGGACAGGATGTAACTGTTGCAGAAGTAATTTAAGTAACTGCTGATTAATGACTTACTACACAGCTTCAAAGCAGTCATAGGATTATGGCCTTAACATGTATCAATTACTCTGTGGGGTGGAAATGAGAAACTACTAAAAGATGTAACAATTCAAAACAGGGCAGTCAAACAGGATACAGAAACAAGTTCTGCCACTAGGACGTGCTGTCCTCTGCTGATGACAAAGGGAACTCCAGATGTATCAGAGAGCAGAAGTCGTCATTTACTGTCCAACTCACACACACACTGCAAAAATAATTTATAGTTTATTACTTCTGTGAGAAAAGTATTCAGGAACAGATAATAAAATTCATCTTTAGAACCAAAAGTAACAGAATTACCCAGTTACACTTAAACCGCCGCACATATTCATACACAAGCTTATATGCTGTACATTGTCATAATTATGAAGCTGAAAATCCACTAAATACAGAAATATTTGCAATTCTCCTTCCTAGTAGGTACAATGACAATATATATTCATGGATTTATGGTGAGCATATATATATATCAGAGGATATACATATGCACACCAAGTATATATCTATTATTAAAACAGGAGTACACTGCTATACAGGTGCCAGCTGGAGACAGCTGGGGGTTCACTGTCACTTTGTAGAAGCCATATTTTCCCAATCTATTCCCAACTCTATCAGGAAAGCACACTGCAGCATCCCCCAGAGACAGCTATTGTTACTCCCTTCTGGAAGCACTGTGCTTTCCAATTACTACAGGTGGCAGCGACACGATTTGACAGGTTCTTGTCTGCAGAAATCTTAACAGCTGACATCCAACCCAGTGATGGGAAGGATCTGGACTAGATCACAAAGAGTTTAAATACTTTATATTGTTACTGTACACCAGCAAATCCAGGCACTTAACATTATCAGTATTTTTATTCTCAACTGTTCTAGAACTATGGGTGAAAGCTCATCTTTACTAAAATCAAGAACAAACTTTCCACAGACCTCAGTAGAACAGGATATCATCTTACATTCTAACAGTTCTGTAGTTTAATAAATCCAGGCGTTTTATATGTTTGGCAAAGTGCGTATTTTAAGAGAACCATTTGGATATTTATAATAGTTTGACTGACCTTCAGAGTCAACATATGATAAATTCTCTACAAGATAAAGGCACAATATTTACAGGTACTCTTACTACTGCAGCTTTAAATAAGAGAAACTAAATAACCACTACAATCTTTTAAATTAAAATGTTGAGAATTATAGTAATAATCTTTCATAAAAAAGTAGATATGCTTGTGCATTTAGTACTCTTGATTCTGGAACCATCTGAACATGGGCATCACTAACATAAACCCACTGTCCTCCTGATGCTCCCATGGCTTCTTTTAAACCTGAAATGCAAAAGCAAAAAAGTTGTTTCTTGTCTTTCACATCATCATCAAACAAATACAATGGATACTTCAAAAAGTAAGAGAAGCTTTTAACCCACATGAGTAAATAATGACTTAGATGCAGTCCAGTATTTGTAGTTTGGAGTTTACAAGACAAAGAGTACTGTAAGATAAATTGGTGGAAGACAGCACTTACAAATGTACGCTGCCATCACTTTTTAAATATTTTTCAAAAAGCCTAAGGCATTTCAAGTACAGCTTACTGAGTTCTAACACTAAATTATGCTACCACACCACCAGTTCTGACATGGAAAAAACATCGTATCTCAAAAGCTGACTGGTGTGAAATTCAGAGCACAGAAAGATCTAATCTGTTCTAATAATCATTTCAAGGGAGGCATAGGACCGAGGGAGACTTCAGTTTCAAAAATAACGTTAAAAAATGGTCCTCCATGAAAAAATTTCTTGCTGTTCACATTAAACCAGAGTATTCCAGATTCTTAAGCATTAAAAAAATTCCAATCCTTCCACAGGTAAAATGCTCAAATATACAGAAGATTTATTTTAAATTGTCATAGATAGAATTTATTTATGTGGCCCTAAAAATAACAGAATATTCTGAACTAAAACAAATATTTGCTATAAATCCTCTTAAGGCTAAAGAGCTGTAGCCAGTGGTTGCTTTTGGTTTTACTCACAGGGAAAGGAGGCTCTGTTTGTACATACCCAGAACATTTTTAGTGGTAGAAATATGCTCTAGTAATTTCTTGGAGGGTGTCCTGACTTTCACATATGCCGCATAATGACCACCTCTCATTGACCCACTGTGCTCTACTATTCCATATAGACTATATAGCACTCTTGCACCATCCGCCACATTCTGCATTCCCAGAAACACAGAAAACAGAGACATCATTTCACAATGAATTTTACAGATATCTTAACTAGCTGTCAACAGTATTACTTTAAAAAAAAAACAAACAGAGACATCTACAGCATTTCCAATGGTAAAATACATCTATTAAAAATACTCAGTAGTCTCTTAATTGAATTTAGTTACCAGGGAAGTAGCCATACTTGTCCTTAATGCTGTTAGATAACATTAACACCATCAGGGCACCATAGCTTAACTAAGACTAGTTAACATCCCTGATATTCATGGTATGTATGGAATTGCAATTAGTTACAATTCTGATCTCGGGATACTACTTGAAAACATTCACTTTAAAATTTCCCTAGGAAAGGAAGGGATAATAGACATCATCATCATCATCACCATTATTCCAGTTTAACTTGTGCTCAGGACAACAACTATTGAAGTACAATAAAAATAAAGATTTGAAATGAGTACCTTGCAAGATGCAGAACAAAATGGTGCTAAGTCTAAAATCAGTGGGAAATCCACGTGCCTATTTACCTTCCGTAGACTCAAACCAGCCTTCAAAAGACAAGAAAAAAAAAACCTGTAAAATACATATTTTTACTAGGAAGCTTTTTAAAACTAAGGTGTACTACTATACTATTAAAATAAACCAAAACCAATAATAAGATTGTAACTGATTTAAACATTCTTTGTTATTTTTTCAGTAGCACCTGCTGCACATAAGCGTGATGGACACGCAAGAGTTTCCCTGGATACATCTGAATGGCTAAATGCACTCTGAAGTTATTAGGCAAAAAACCATAAGCAGGTTTCAAATAGTGGTTCTAACAGTTCTCCCTATAAAAAGCAAATATCGGTATACACGATGACTCTTAAAGAACTGCTTATCTGACAGTGGGGAAGAGGAATATACAAGAGGGTTTTGCCCTTTTACCTGGTGGAATCTTTTCAAATGGAGAATAAGAATAGCAGGAACTGAAGAAATCAACAGCTGTTTCCGAGCATTTGTGTAGACACCTTCCATTTTCTTTTCTGTATTTACGAATATAAAATTAATTTGTAAAGTGAGGGCAGTCACACAGAATTTAAGTATTTTTAAACATACAATAAAATAGATCTATGTTGCAATGATTTTGTACATGTTATATAAATGCAAGGGAAATTTTGTGGAGTAACAGAAAAATATTTTCTCATTTTTCTAGTGTTCAATAAATGTAATCTGCCAAATCTGACCATTATTTTAGCCTGTCCTGGGAAAATCAGATCAGAAGTTGGAAGCATGTACACTATCTAGGTCAGCCTGCACACTGAGATACAAAACCTACATTATCTGTTACTACAGCACCTAACTTTCCTGTTAAAACCATTTAACCTGACATAAATGGATGATCACTGGAACAAGAAATGGAAGGCACAGGTCTCTTTATCTACGGTAACCACTGTCATAGATTAATTTTCCATTATTCAGTTCTTTCTGAATGACTACATACTTTGTGCTTAAGAGTAAGGTCTGAAGAGGTGTGTCTACTTCAGGATGCCTCATAACCTGCTGTCTTGAGTACACATGATTGGGAAGTATGGACTCCAGTCCCCCTGTGGTGTAGAGGGAATTGAATCCAGGGCTCTTCCCAAGAGTAGCTCAGTGAATAGCTTAGTGTTGTGAACTGATTTTCCTTTTCCGTTTTTCATTGGCCCACGGAACCAAAATATGGTACTTACTCTCAGTCCAATAATGATAAATGAATGATTCTAAAATACTATTTTTAGATTATTTTTTCTGAATTTACTCATGCTTAAGTTGCATCTCTCCAGATATCTATAAAGGAGCAGCAAATGGGAAATTTTTTGTTACTGTAAGAACTCCATTTATATTCTATTTATAAATAATCTCAAGAGTCTAATTCTTTTATCCTTCTGAATTATTATACATCAAAAAAAATCCTCCAGTCTTTTTTAAAAGTTTATTTTTCATTATACTTCAATTGTTTTTCTTACTCAGAAATCGAATGGTCTGCTTGGGCCATACATTGAGGAAAACATTGTCACAAGAAAGTCGTTCTCTCTCATCTCCATTCTTACAAAGCTTTCTAAGGTTTCTTGCCCTCTTCATTACAAGTGTCTTTTTTTGCCCCTCTTACATACGTAATTATATTACTTCCCTGAGTATGTAAGTTGCTAAGCTGAATATTACAGCATTTATTTCAAAGCTTCTAAAATTGTAAAGAACAGAAACAACAGCGAAGATTAATAGCGAATGATGAGCCTATACAGTTTATGGTAATCTTTCAATTACTTATCTTAGATAAAATAAAATATGCAAAACAAATTCTAAAGTTACTTCTACAATTATGTTCTAATATAAAATTTAGTGTTGTTCCCTTTGCAGGATGAAATTTTAAGTTGTTACAAGCAACTTCTGCTTGGGGAGACATTTTCTATGTAGCCACAAGGGGGAGGCCCATGCTGGAGCCATCAAACCACAGTGAGTGCACAGGTTTTGAGAGGCAATTTGTAGTGTCCAGACAGATACAAGCACTTTACCTGTGGAGTTGGTTTTCTTCTGATGCTTCTGTTTCCTTTCTGTGCAGCTCTCACATAAAAGCTTGTTGTTCCCCATTAGGAGCTCTACAGAGGTGAACTGGTAAAGGCACGACTGAACAGAACATTCCTTTGAGCTAGTTATATAGCTTTGGGAAAGTGTCTGAAAAGCATTTTGAGGGTTTTGGGATAGCGGGGATTTGTCTCCTGAGAACATGGAATTATTCGATAAACCTAATGCTGGATCCCCACAGCTCAAATTTTTATCTTCATTTATAATATCACAGAAGCTGAGTTTGGATATGGCACTGGAAATCATCTCGTCATTACTGTCACTTGGTTTGTTGTGCGGCATCTTAACATTTATGTGGTTGACATGCAAACCAGACATGTTGCTGGACGAGCTGAAAGCTGTTTGCTTAGAAGCACTTTCGCTTTCTGAGGCTTCACTGTCTGCATCAAAGCTGCTTTCAGAGCGGCTGGCTTCCTTCTCACTGCCGTCTGTCTGACTTCCATTTACAGTGGAGTCAGCACTCATGTCTTTGGAGTACTGGATGCCAGAGCTACCTTCCAGCTCAAGCTTTTTATTTTTTTCCTGCATGATAACAGAACTTCTTCCTTCTTTATTTGAGGAAGCTTTTCTGGCAAGCCGTCTCTCCTGGTTCAATTGATTCTGCAAATAATGGTATTATTATTTCAGTAATATAGAGGAGAAACAGAAAACAGATCTGTGATCTAATATAGCTTCTGTAACATGACAAATTCAAAGGAAATTAAACCTATTCTTTTGTATTCTCCATCTCTCAAATGTTTAAGCTACATGATCTCCTTAAGATCTTTTTAAACCAATTTAGGATTAGAAACCTACACCTCAGTCAGCTAAGAGCATTATACTTACTGTGAGACCAATACTTTCCTCTACTAATTACATTCACTTTGTGACAGCTGTGGATGGCACATTTGAAGTCACAGAATCACAGAATCACAGA